TATGTGTTATTCATGATATGTGAAGAGCTATCTCCTGTTGTCTTATCTAACTCATGGTTAAATGCTCTAATTGGGAGGAAGAATAGCCCTAAAGGATGACTTTTAAAGAGCCTGTGATAGTTGCATTTCATTCTTCATGAAATATAAGGTGATTCACAGTTAAAAGAACAAAACAAAACAAAACAAAAACACAACAAACCACCAATCACCACAGCATTTGCTCAGAATTTGTCAGAAGACACCCGACAGCCAAGGAGTCAAGCACTTGTTTGCAAAATTACTGAATTCTTGATAGATCTGTGGTGGACTAACTGGACACTTCACTTCTTCCCTGACTTGGGGCATGCTTTCCCAGCCATCAAAGTTCTTGAGATTGGCCTAATGAAATCTGGCACTGATGACAGCAGATGAGGACAGCGGAACCAGTAAAAAACTGGTATAAAATTCAGCTTATCTGTAGAGAAGTTTCAGTTTGTGGGTATCTGCACTGTACTCATTGCATGCTGTCAGAATTTCTCTTCTATGGGGAGCTTGGTTCTATGTGTAAATATTTCTTGCTTGAGTAGAGATTATATCATTGGTCCTTGCATCTGCCTGAAACCTGGCATTCCTTGTACACAGCATTGTGTAGCTGTATGCTTCATTTTCAAACTATGTGAGTTCACACCCCTCAAGCATTATTTTCAGTTTGATTTCAGAGGGGCTACAAATGAAATCCATTTGAATCTGCCAAGTGCCATCAAGTTTTGTGTCAAGCTTACAAATTTTGCATGATTTCAATGCATAACCATAAATCAGCCCAGGTGTGCTGAAAGTTTCTGTAAGTTTTACTATACCTTTTGATGAACTTGTTTTGACATTTGAGTTGTAAGAAAATACAGCAGTAGGAAACTTTGCAGTGTTTAATTTTGGATGTTACGTACAACTCTCACAGTAATGTAGATTAGGGACATCCATGACATGTCATTAAATAGTAATTCATCTACGTTAGTCCAGTGTTTGGAGTGTGCTGCCTTTCTCCCTAAAGACTACATGAAAAAATAACATAGAGTATGAAGTTTTCCCAAAGTTCAGAAACATTCCATTTCACTAGGGAATGTTTATTGATTATTTTTTTTAACCATCTATATGAATCAGGACTAAACATATCGTTGGTTTATTTTTCAGTGTGCTAAGAAAATACATTTCCCATAAAGGGAGCTTCCTGGCAGCAGTACTTCTGGAGCCCAATTACAGTCTTATATGCTTACATCTATGTTGTTCAGGCTGGTGTGTGCTGAGTTATCCAGCATGCCCTTGCAGCTCTAAATGGAGTAGTATATATTAATGTACGTTAGCACAGAGGAAATAGAGTCAATCATATAATTTAAAGGGATATAATTCTGCTGGCCGATTTTTTTTCTTTTCAATTTAAAAAAGAAAGTCTTTGAAAGTCATTTCTAAGTTTAATAGTTTTATGAGCTGCTGAAGCGCAAAGGAAGTTGAATTGATTTAAAGTGCAGAACATGTTTCTCCATGCTATCATAGTTCAGTTGTGGCTCTGCTGACTTCGTGCAAATGCAATATGCAATCTTTCATATATGTAAAAAGCAGAAATGAAGAGCTGGCCCTCCTGAAAAGAGTATGGAAGAGCTAACTCTTTCACTATGGGATTTCAAAATATCCTCTCCAGAAGGTTACAGAAAGAGTAAAGTGTGTGATACTGCTCAATAGCTGTTGAAGCATGCTGAAATGAACATACTGTTGTAGTTTGCAATATGCAGTCAGTAGGTTTATGATTCTGAATGCCTTTATTAGAATTAATCAGTAGTTTACAAAGGGGAGATGAAATTAAAGGTCTAAAACCAGATACTGTTTACTAATGACTCACTGAAGTAGATACAGAATGCTATGGTATAATCAAGTGAGTAGTGTTGCGGACAGCAGAGCAGTTTGGCTTAGAGGCAGTAGCTGGTATTTGTGAGGTGCCTTACACCATCCCATTGGGTGCTATCCAGCCAGGCTTTGGTGGTGCTGCACTTTGCTGTGGTGTGCAGGGGAAGCTTCCAAGCCCCTCATGTGACTTCAGCCAGCAGTGAGTCAGGATGTTTTTCTTCTCCGCTACAATAAAAACCTTCAGTTAAAGAACAGGGTGGATGTTCTTAAGGACATGCAGGCAAATTACATTTCTCAGCGCCGCCCACTGCAAGACAGAGCTTTTAGAGTATTAATGTTTGATGATAAGTAGCATCAAGGTAGAGTAGTTGTGAAGAAGGTAAAAATAGACTTCAGTTAGAGAAGAGGTTTTATTTCGAACCTCCCTCTAAATTAAACAGAACTTCCCCTGAAAGTGTACAGCTAGTCACTGGACTTTGTTCTTTCTCAGTGCTGTGAAAAAACTGCAGAAGCTTAACTTAAAACAGTCTTGCTAAGCAAGTGAGGAAGCTTAAGAGTCCTTGCTTATGGTAAATTACATCTGTCCACTCTTTGCAAGGTTTTCTAGTGGTATGAAATATGTTTTGCTGCCTTTTACTGTATGGAGGGTGTTTTAACACACAGCAGCTATTTTTCTGAGTTAGTCAGAATTTCTTCTCAGCCTTCACTTAAAGTGCAGTTATGCAGAGTCAATGGTTTTGAGTTTTTTGAGATTCTTCAAGTTAGTGAGAAACTGGAATCATAAGTCATTTGCTATATCCACCATAAAGAGGCTAAAATCAGAGTAAAGAACGTCCCTTCTTTGCACAGCAAGAGAAAGATAGACGAGAAAAGGCTGTGAATTTTTATTGCTTCTTCCTCCCAAATGCCGTTCCTTTACTTTGTTCCCTAGCAGACTGACACTGATTTATTTTAATAGACTGTGCGTTTGGATCTTTCTTTGATGCAAATTGTGGTGGCTTCTCTCACTGCAGCACAGCTGAGCTGTTTTACATAGGCTGAGGTTTACCACAGAATGTAATACACTAATATATTTCTATGCAACTCTATAAGTTATGTCAGAATTCTGTAGCGTGTCCTAGTGGGAGGTTCTTGTTCAATGCTTTTATGATTAAAATTGTGATGTCAAATGCAGATGTGTGATAAATGTGTTTAAGAGATGGATGTGTGTTATGGCAGTGGTTGTCAGAGCTTTTTTTGATGGCTTAATCTTCAGCTAGTGCAATTGGTCCATCAGATTATTTTCTTTTATTTTTCTGAGTACCTTCTTCCTGTGTTTCCCTGTCTGTTTTCCTTTATTTCATTTCTCTTATGTTTTCTCTGTCTCTGTCTGGTCTCAGCAGGGTTCTCATTGGTTGAACACTGAGGACAGGATGAGGAAGATATCTTAGACATTCCTTGCATAACTTCTTTTTGGCATGATAAGGTCCAAGTCACAGAGAAGATTAAATAATGAACAAGGGAGGTCCAGATGCACCCCCTTGCAGTACTCAGATAGATGAACTGGGGGTCTTTAATAAACAATTCTGTTGTTTTTACTTGGCAAAATATATAAATTTCCCAACTACCACCACTAACAAAATAGATTAACAAATCCTTAGAGGTGAGATCAGATTGCCTTTAAAAATTCAGGGAAGCATGCACAAAATGCAAAGTAAGCCATAGTCTTGTAATGGTCAGTTTTAGCCTATGAAGACCCGCAGAGTGCTCACTGTTGTATGATGCAGTGGTAATGTGTTTTGTCTAGTGTCACACTAGTGATGTCTAGTGCCATTTCACTGCTTTTCTTTTTTTCCCGAGAGACAGTGAATGCCATTAAGGGAAGCTTTTTGCTTTCCCTGGCATTTGGCAAGAGTATAGCCCAACTCAGCTTTATAGCTTGGAGGAGAGCCCAGCCCAACTCTTGGGATTCTCAGGCTTTTGTTGGGATGTGGGCACACAACATACTTCTTTTACGTACCAGCTAAAGTAGATTAGTTGATTTTGGGAAAGCAATACTCTTTCCTTTCCACTTCATCAGAATTCTCATTAAATAGGAAAAAAATTCTTAAAGTGAAAACAATTTTTATTCTATCAAAGAAACACTTTAACCTTATAAGCAAACCTGTGGCTTTGACTAGTTCTGGATGTTTATGAAAGTACAAGTGCATTTCTGGGTTTCTTAGTGACTGGTGTTATATTTTGAAATGCATGGACTTTTTAGAAGGGAGGTTTTGTACATCAGAGTTATTTTTCAGCCCATGAAGGTAAACGAATTGCAGTTTCTACTTAACCCTTTCTATTAGACAGCCTTATTTGTGCTGTGAAATCTCTTTTCTTGCTGAAGAAGAGTTAACAGTTTACATAATTCCACAGACAACATTTTAATTTAAAATCTGTAGGACAATCATAGCTCGCACATGATAATAACACAAAGGACCATCCTGCATGCCCGCAAGCTTTTTGGGGTTCAGATAGTTATTCTTCATATGAGAGTGTACTCTCAGTGTTTTGCTCCACTATGACAGTTTCTCTTCTCTTAAATTCCTCTTGTTTATGTAGTATCATGCAATGCATCCTCCCTTTCCTTTGTTTTCTTATTGCTACATTTTGTGAATAAAATTGAAACTGCTTTGTGACAAGGTGGATATCAGTTTAACAAGTGATTAAGCTAACCATACAAGGGAAGTAAAACTAAGGGATCCCACCCCAAATGTAAGTAGCTTAATTCCACTGCCACCATCGTGGCTGATCCTTTTGCTGCTATAGAATGCATGATGTAGGGAAGCAGTGTCCTGGAAAAGGGTGACATTGTGATGCAGATTTATTTATTGTCTTCAGGGTGACTTCCTTCCTTGATGAGCACTGCTTCATTTTCCCTTTGTAAAACTCAACTGTTTCTCCTCCAGACCTCAAAGTATAATTTAAATAATGGGGAAGATTTTAAGGTGTACCTGTGCACTGCAGAAGATCTAACTAGGGCTTAGTGTTAGTTGCAATAGATCAGCAACCACTGAAGCACGCAGGCTTCAATACTTGGCCTCTGAACAATCAAAGCCATGACAGGAACTACTCTCATACTCTTTTCCGTCCTGCTTTTTCAACAGTTACATCGCAAACCAGAGAAAATTAGAAAGTATCAATGACAATGAAGTTGGATTTTACGTTGGACTTAAAAATCTGTGAGTACATGGAATAAATATTTTTAAAATTACTTTTTCTCATTTCTCATTTCTCTCATGGAAGTATGTACAGACTTCGTTAGAGTGTAAGTATGACTTTATATGTTACAGAGGGCAGTGATACATCTTGCAGTTCAGCCTTGTAGTGATTTCCTCCACGCTCTCATTTTAGCCATTTATTATCATTATTCTTATTACTGTATTGTAAATGGACTACTCTAACATTTTTATCTGTTTTCACAGGACCGTGGTGGATTCAGGCTTAAGATTTGTGTCCCGTCAGGCATTTGTGAAAAATGCCAACTTACAATACATGTGAGTAAGAAAAGCGCCTGCCTTTCAAATCCAACCCCTAACTCTTGTGAATTTCTTTCTCTCTTTTACCATTTCTTTAATAAAAAATGTTATAACGAGACAGACGTATAGTGACCATCTGTCATTCATTGATCTGAGTAGGGTATGTATGGTAAGGAACTCGCAGAGTGTAGGGCATGTATGATATAGAACTGGCTGATCATAGGAACATAATGTAGGCTGGTGAAAAGACAGTCTAACTCATTATCCTGTCTCTAGCAGTGGTCTCTGGCTGTGTCTTTTTTGGTACGTAGTATAGCACAGTGCCTGTCTCAGCTGAACTGATCTGGTGCTGCTGGCACATTGTCCACCCTCTATGCATTGCACTCAGTGACAAGGATTTGGCTGGATTTGGCCTGATTCATTGGGTCAAATGTATTTTACAGTGCAGTAGCTGCATGCATGAGGTAAGCATATCTTCAAGTGTAGCTTGACCACTTTGCATTCCCATAGACTGTGCCAAGTTTGTGAAGCAGAGCCCTGTAAGTGAGGATGAACAGAAGATTCACTTCAAAAGCTCACTCATGATCTAAGCAAATGTTGCCAAAGCAGAATATAAGAATGAGATTACTTTCATACCCAACTGGAGTTTGTGGTTCATGAATTTCAGGAAGCTGAATTGGTGTTCAGTGGAGTTTTTTGCCTGTGTTTTTTGAGCTTACTTACACTTTAGATGTGCATACATGCCTGTAAAGGACTGTAGAACTTTTTGCTAGGTCAGCTAAAGAATAGATCACTTTGCTACTTACATGGAAGATCATGGGTCCAGTACTACAAAATGTTGAGATTGTGCGTCGGGCTCAGTTCCTCACAGGTACTCTATTTTAATCAAATATTCAAGTGTATATTTTCAGTCCATCCATCTTCTTTAGATGTTTAGCACTTACTCAACCCTTTGCTTTTGTTAGGTCCTAATGAGATCAAAAAGACATAAGACCAACCCTCAGCCTTCCAAAAATACTTCCATGTAATATGTAAGAGCTGCTGAACCAAGCTCAAGGCTTTGCTAATAAAATGAAATCACTTTCTACACCTGTGTTTTCCAAAGAATAGCAATTAAATTACATAAGGAATTGGATGTGAATATCTGTTTCTGCCTAAATATAATTACTGTCACTCGAAGATTGTGAACCAGACTTTGCTTAGCTGTAAGGCCATATTATTTCTTACAGTCATTAATAAATAACTTTTACTATAACTAGTTGGTGATATAAGGAAGTATATTCCTGAAGTGAATTTGTTCTTCTGCTTATGTGGGAATTACTCAGTGAATTATGATTGCAAAAGATGAAACTCTATAAAGCCAATGCATGTGTGCTGTCTGTGGAAATGTGCAATGAGAACTTACTGGTCAAGAGGCACAGCTGCGAACAATTCAGTTGCTATGCTGGGACAGAATCTTAGCTCAATGCAGTAGAACAGAGAAAATGCAGTCTGGGATTAAAATGAACTTAATGTTAGATTTTTCCCATTAGTGTAGTTGCTATCCTGGCATCTGTACTCATGACCAGGAAAGGCATCTATTTAGATACTAAATGATACTAAAATGAGTATACTAAATGTAGGATGAGGATACTAAAATCTACATGTGTAGAAAGATCTTACAGGGAGGACTAGTAGAGTATTTTGTAAAAGAAATCTTCTAAGAAATTAAGATGCTGAGTATGTTCAGTCCAGTAGAGAGAAGACTGAAAGGGAATATATATCTCCATCTTCAAAAAGAGAGCAATTGTAATGAGGAGAGTAATCAGTTGTCTCTATGACTATGAACATAGGATGATGAATAATGAGTTCAATTTGTATCAAGGTAAATGAATGTTTGGAAGTCTTTCCTATCTGTATGGACAGGTAGACACTGCAAAAATTCACTGAAAGAACGTGTGGATAAGATATCTCCAAAATATTTTAACCACAGGAAGAGCTTCAGCTAGAGCACGCAGGCAAACATGGAACACATAGTGATTGGTGATCAGGCTTTATGAGATCTGTAGTTCATGGAATGACCTTTTAGAAACAAATTAGGCTGGCTGACATCTGTTAGGTTGATGTACATGGAATCCTGATTCAAAATAATTATGTTGTGATCCAGGAGCTTATTCAGTCTCATACTACATTTTGTTTTGGTGAGGAATTACTAATGTTAGCAGAAACAGGGCAACCCCAGATAAGATGGAAATTTTTAGATGACACCACCTGCTTTATATACATGTCACAAAACAGTAAATGTGGTGATATTTTTTCTTGAGGCTGATCTATTAATCCTGCAAAAAAATGCACTTATTTATTTTTTCTGGGAAGTCTTGATGCATGCTAAAATGTTTCTGAAAACCCCAGCAAATCAGTGCTTGTCATCAGCAGTAAAACTCATGTTGACAGCACTGAGAATGAAATGCAGTTCCTGTTGTGGTTGGGACAGTGAAATCTATCAAGAGCTGGAGTAATTTCACTTTGCAAGAGTAAACTGCACAGACCTTTGAAAAGTTTTCTATTTTAAAGCAACAGTTTTCTATTACCCCACAAAGAAAACAAAAACTGCCAACACTTTACTGAAGTAGCTGCATAAGCTTTAATTTTGCTGGTGATGCTGCTGTAGTTTTCTCTTTCTAACATGAAAAATCTTCTGATATATTTAAAGATCTTTATTATATGAATACAGCATTTGTTTTCCAGTCATCTAGAAAAATGAGATAATAAGGAATCTATTAAGAGATTTCCTTAAGCCCTTTTCTGTCGTCATCTTCTTTTCTTGGACAAACATTTGTAGCCAAATACCTTTCTGGAGGTAAGGATGATAAGAAGACTTGAGTAATAATATAAAAGAAAAAAGAAAAACAACTAAAGGAGAATTGCTTAAATAGATATTATTTAAATGAAGGTAATAATCTTGCTTATCTAGTCCTGATATTTTCATTGAACTTGGACTCACATTAGTCAACAGTTACATTTAACAAGCAACACTAGTAGTAGTAGTTCTGTAATTTATAAGTTTGCCTGCTACTAACAGTAATTTTAATGGACTTGTGTAATACACATCCATGGTATTCTGTCAATATCTTTAAACACAAAAATATATTTTGCAGCAAGTGTTTATTTCCTGGAATATTGAAAAATAGCTCTGGTTATGTGCCAGGCTTTGTATAATTGCACTGATGAAGCATAAATGTGTGTTTATTATATGCATATAAATCTAGGTAATAAGATGTGCTTACTTGTCTACCAGGTTTAGGAAATGCAGAAAAATTAAAGTGTTTGAAACCCAGTGGCAGCTTTCCCATGTGCACAAACAAAGCTGGTTCCAGTTGTAAGCAGATCATGCAGTTGCCTGTGGAGGGAGACTGAGCGTAGCAAAATGCCCACTTCTTTAACTCTTCTCCCTGTTTCTCCTTAGATCTGTTCCCCCTATTTCTTTTCTCTCCCTGTGTGGAGCCCTAAAGGCAGTGGGGCAAGCGGCTCAGTGATACTGCAGTGGAGCGCTGTGCCTGTCTTGCTACTTGGGTACATATTTACATAGCTTCTCAAGCTGCTCTTGCACTCCCTGAATTGCCACAACTTGGTTTTGTCAAGGCTAGTTTAAAGTGAGCTTGATATTTGTATGTAAAAAACAGACATGCTTTTTGACTGAATTCTGGTCCTGTTCTTAGGTGCAGCTTTAGAGCCAAGCTCTGTGCTGCAACACACTTTTTTTTTTTTTTTAGGCTTTAGAACCCCAGATGGATCTTCCTGCTCACCATGATCTTTTTGTGTGTAGTTGAATTGGGGAACTAATTTATATTCTCCTTCCATGGAAGTGGAAGTGCAGGCCTTAACTACTTCATAATAAGACTGGTAGTGATTTTTTCACTTAACATGAATTAAAGAGATCACAGCAGGAATCTTTATAATCAATATAAAGTGCTCAGCTCCTGAAAAAAGATGTATAGCAGTAAATATACTGTCAAAGTGTCTTTTAAAATGATAATTCTATAATGGTGGCCTGAAAAATTTCTACTGAATTACTTGTCAACTTGAAAAACGTTAAGGCTCTAAACTATATGGAATAGAGGCCTGTGATCCCTGTGGTTTTGGAATTACTAAATGTATCTACCCATGACCAGGAATATAGGTGCAGAAATTAGTTTTGTTACTCTTTGTACTGCTTCTCACTTCTTTTTTCTGGTATGCATCAAGTGCAGCTGGTAAAAATCTGAAACAACAATTACAGCTACTAAAATACTTTTGTTTTCTCTAAGCTGGCCTTGTTGAATGTTTTGTGCAAAACAAAATGGCTTCAGCTGGACAGAGATTTTCCTGAGGAGTCCACTGTCTGATAGTTAGGTCCTCCTGGAATGGAAGTCTTGTGTTATGTGGAAACCAGGAGCCAAATCTGGTCCATACATGATGTGGAGTATATTGCCTCCCACTAGCGAGGGCATGAACACCTTCCTGCAAGTGGAGGCCCATGTATATATGACTGTCCTTTGGTAAGGGTAGAATTCAGTTGCTGTGCAGGTAGGAAAAACAGGCACTTGCCTCATTTGGGAGTGCCATGGAGGCATCCACATGTACTGCTTAGCAGTGTCACAACTAGAGGGGCTTTCCCACATGGTGAGTGAAGTGTTGTGCATGGAATGGTTAAATTCAATATTCCATGTTGCCTCGATGCTGGAGACAAAAGCCCATGTCCATCTTTTTTTAGCATTTCAACATATAGCTTCTGCTTACTAGGGAAAAAATTCAAAGTGGTGTATTTTACTCAAACATGTTTTCTGCCATATGTGCAGAGTGTACTTCAATTTTGATATACCTGCTCAGGGATGTGATTTAGTGGAGGGTTGTGAGTTAGGCTAGTATGGTTAATTACGGTTGTACTCGATGATCTTTAAGGTCTTTTCCAACCTGAATGATTCTGTGATTCTATGATTCTACTTGATCAGGATCAATTGAATGCATCCACCTACATCAGCAGTAGGGCAGGCTAGTTCATCTGGCAATTGAAATAGTATCTTATCTATTTTGTGCTCCAACGTTAGAACCACACAATTTGTAAACTTCAGATGGTTGCATGCTGGAACAAATCAATAAAGAAATATGGTAAATAAAATCTTGTAAGGATTCTGATCTGAAACTTTGTAGAAGATCCAACTTGCACTCTTGTAATTTCTTTGAAAATTGACTTGTACTCAGAAATCGAGGACTGAAAATTTGGGAATTAAATACTATGTTCTTTAGTCAGGGTGAAAAAAAGGTTTAATCCCTGGTTTTAAATGCAATGCAGCTATAGCTATGGAGCCCCCTTGGTGCCTTTATAATACCACATAAAACTTGTGTGGTATTTTGGCTCATAACACTGATTTGCACTGTACTGCTGGCAGTTTTACAGCTTACTGCTCTCACTGTCTTTAATTGGTGGACTGATAAATCAATAGAGGGACAACATTATTTTGGGTTAGGGTGGAGAGAGCAATTTTGTAAGCCTGGGAAGCGGGTTAGTATTTCTGATTCACATGAACGTTTCTTTGCATAAAGTGAGAGGACCTTTCACTTAATTACCACTGGAAACCATAAGTGCTTAATTGACATAAAAAAGCCCAATATAGGCATTTTACAGTTTTCCTTTTGATCTTCCATGTGGGTGCATACTGTACATGCAATTTGAAAAGAATAACTAAAAGGCTCTGATGTGGATGTGTGCTAGCATGTAAGGAGGGTTTGTGTGAGTACAGAGTATGGTGCAGCATCAAAGGAAGGGATACACCCATTTCACTTATGAATAAATTGAGCATGTAATTAACACCTGGACTTGACAAAATACTTTTGAAACACAATTAAATCTGCTGCTTTTCTGCAATAAACAGAAGAGCTAAAAGTGAAAATATTGTCCCCTGCTGACTTTGATTTTGAATGTACTTGACTTCAGATACAGATTGGATTCAAATGCTTGAAACCCATCAAGCTGTAAAAAGAGCACAATTTCATTCCAACTGAAGTAAAAGGAATAAAGGCTTTTTAGCACTGGTTTTATTTCTTCATTTCATTAAGAGAGACAAACTCTATTTTCAGTTTAAGAAAAAGCAATCCTAATTAATGCAATCTTTCTCTTTTCCCATAGCAATTTATCTAGAAACAAGCTCTCAAGTTTGTCCAAGAAGCCTTTTCGCCATCTGGGTTTGTCTGATCTGTAAGTTGACATTTCTTAAAATACAGCTTATTTGTGGCTACAGTGGAAGAACAAGACTTAAAAGTTTGCTCTGTTGAAGAAGATAGACAGCCGTCAGTGGTTTGGAATGAAGTTCAGATCCAAAGCAAGCAGTGATGTCAGTGATTTAAATACAGAAAAATTTTCATTGCAGGGCTTGACTGGAAACAAACGTATGTTTTATAAAAAATAAACAGGTTGAAAAAGCCTCTTCAGCTGTGAAATATTTTTATTGTTTTTGAGTTAATTCACAGAAAATGTAATTTGAGTTAGTTTAGCACAGCCATCTACAAAATGTCAAATGATTTCTCTGTCTTACATTCCCATATATATTGACCCTACAGCTGCTGTGGTTGTAGTAGGATATTAAAGAAAGTTTTTATTTTCCCTTTGAATTGCATTGTGCCTTAAGAAATCATTTGGTAATGAAGTACTGATGGACGTGTAGTTGCCAGTCACTTCAATATTACATTTTTATGCTCTGTGCTTTCAAGCAGAGATTATGAATTAGTGCACATTCCAAAATTTTATTCTTAAAGGCTAAAAAATGAGAGAAGAGGACATAACTTGCCTCTGAGGCAGATAGTGTTTTCTTATATTTGAGGCTTGCAGAAAAGATGAGGTCTGCAAATGACTTTGGGACTGGGGATATTGACTTAAGACATAGGGAAGACAGAGACTGTCTTTTGAATACTTTGGAATAATGATTTTCCTTACTGATTTTTCTGAAAGAACTTTTAAGGCCTGGTATTGTGTTTCTGTGTGCAGTCTTTGCAAATATATGGAAGAGGAATTCCCTGTAGAGGAAATTCAGGAGCTTTGAAAGAGTTGGAGCTGTACAACAGAGGGAGGCTGCTCTCATAGAGCTCAGAGGTCAGGGTCAGAAATTACCCAAATGCCAATTCAAGAATTGCAATGCAGGCTTAGCAATCCTGAACCCCTTTTTTAGTGAACTTCATCCTGTGAGAAATGAAGTGAGTAAATCACGGTGAGGCAAAAGGAGATTATGCCCCTTAGGTATGTTTTGTTGATGATTAAGTTGGTATAATCTCTTTCTTTACAGTGCAGGAACATTGCTCATTGGAATTTTCTTTCATAACTTGGCAGTTGCTGAGCACAGCCGATCACTGATGAAAGACTAGCTAGCTGCAGAAGAAATTGCTCTATGCCTTCCACAGATCTGTTGCTGCTGAAGCTTCTGTTGCTTCACACTTTTAAGTCCCTGCCAAAAAGACACTGTTAGCGTGTACATATCTGTAGCTTCTGTGTTTTTGTAGGCATGGCCTTGAATAATAGGATGAAAGATATGGACCAGTGCAGTGTGCTTTGTTTGGGGTCTGCCTAATGTTTCTAAGCAGATAATGTAGAAACAGAGTCACCTTTACTTCCATGGGATGCAGAACTATAAGGGTGGGTATGCTGAAACTTCAAAAGGAAATTACAGCAACTTTGAAGGCATACTGTGCTTCCAACTTTGTTGGGGTTTCCTTGGAGTTAGTCTGCTGCAATTAACAGGTTTATTCTCAAGCACAAATCAAACCACTCTTGGACTTCTTCATCTCAGGTGAACAGTTTATTTTAGGTTCTATGTGGAGTAAACACTTGCAAAGATTCTGAGGGAGAATGAAGTCAATGTCGCTTTATTCATAACTGAGCTGACATAAGAAATGTAAGGGAAAGAAGATGGGGATAACAAAATAGAGCCTGGAAGATGGAAAAGTGGTGATAAAACCAGTATCAGTTGAACAATTCTGTTGATAAATAGGTAACATACAGGTGGAAGATTAGAATGGGGAGGATAAGAATCCTGGAAGGGAATTCTGAGAGGAGAATGTGCCATAAATTGCCTGTGAGAAGGTTACTCTAGATCTGAAAAAGAAGTGTCTTGTTGTTAGCACACTTGTAAATCAAAACATAAACGGATGAAAAGTTCAGGCAAGGGTGATGTAGAAGATATTTGCCAGATACTGTAGGGAAGGAAATGCCACCTTGAAAGGTTTCTTCTTTTAGAACAAGCTGTAGCTGCAGCTGTAAAATTACGGCAAACAAGATAAAGATATGTAATTTCCTTCTACTAGGTTAGATTCTTTATTTCACACAAGAATATATGGAGAGTCATCATGCTTCTATCCAGCATCCTGCCCATTACATGCCTAACTCATCTAATGGGTTTGACACAAGATATAACAGTGGATGAAAGGACTGCTTAGCCACTGATTGAGGGAAAATTGTCTTTTAAATGGAAGTTGTATAATGAAACAGAAGAAAAATAGTATTATTTGAGAAATGAGAAATGCACATTTTAGGCTTTGACCCAAGATCCTAGTATTCATATTTTGTCCTGCATAAGTGATTATTATTTATGCAGTAGTGCTGTGGAAGTCCAGCTGATAACTGCTGTGACTACAGATTGTTCCTTAAGAGGTTTGCAAGAATGATCCCTGCAGCTTTTTATCCACAAAGAATTACAGATGGCTTTTGAGGAACAGGCTTTTGAAGGAACAGGTTACAGCTCTGAAAACCTGAGCTTTTCATGATTTGAACATTTTGCATATTCAGAAGTTAGTCTTCTGCATATACAAGCACAAGTACTGGAAGCAACTTGAGTTTAATTTCTGTACATGGAAAATAATTAGCAAATTTTGTTAGGAATAGTCATTCTATCTGTAATGAAATGCCTCAAACAGTCACTCACATGGGCTTTATTGGATCTCATCTCAGATTATTACGGCCATTGTCTGTGATCTATACCTATAAGAGAAAAAACTATGCAGAGTTTCTTCATTTATAGTTATTGGGATGTTTCTGTTTATTTTTACTTGGACTGCACTGTACTACACTGTTATGTAGAATTTGCTAATTATGGTAACCTGTGGTTTAAATTCCGTACAGTGTACTCCGTAGCTAAATTATTGTAAACACTTCTGTTTCAGTGTCATCTTTTCAGTCAGCATTTCATCATAACATTACATAGTGTTTTTACTTTGAGATTTTCTAGTATTATCAGAAGTGAATCTTTACGGTGAATTTATTTTATTGTTATTAGAGTTTTTAAAGTTTACCCATAATGTATAAGTCTGTAAGGAATTTGCCGCCTAACAGCAGTAAGCCCTGGCATGATCTTCCTGGGATAGTATCTAGCATAGAAGGGAGGAATTCTGTTCTCTGCTTCATTGTTACAAAATAGAATGGAGCCTAATGTCTCCTGAATTACATCAATTAATTGGAGACTGTGACTGAGCCCCTCTGTGATCTCTTTGATCTACAGCAGTTTGGATGCAAGCAAAGCTTTGTTTTCTGTGAGGAAATAGCTATCTGCTTTGGTAGGTAGCTTACGTTGCACTGAGGGTTTTGGTGTGTACCTTTCCACTTTCACCCAGCTGAGTACTTTGAGTCCCTCTGCCTATCAGCTTTTCCTACATGCTTTCTAAATATATATACTTTTCTCTTTCCTGTAGGATACTGGTGGACAATCCATTCAAGTGTTCCTGTGAAATTATGTGGATTAAGAAGTTTCAAGAGACCAAGTTTTACACAGAAGCTCAGGATATATATTGCGTAGATGACAATAACAAGCGGACAGCCTTGATGGATATGAAGGTCCCAAACTGCGGTAATATTCTTTTAACATATGTTTACTGCTAAATTGTTGTAAGATGGGAAAGACAAACATGATTTTTTGCAAGATATCTTTCAGAATGACAACAACTCTATTTAAAGAAAGTGCTTTAATAGAGAGATTAAGCTGTCTGTGGTCTTCCATCCCACATGGAGTAACTTCACGTATAGTCTTCTTTTCCTTGATCCTTTTAAAATATATACCATTATTCAAGTGCAGGAAGACAGAACATGAATTATAGATAACACAGAAGAATTGTATAAGAAACATGTGCCTTTGTCAGGCTAAATGGTAGAACTTCCAAGATGAACAGGCACAGAATTCTTCTTCCTTGATTTTTTAAAACTATTTGAGGTTAATGAAAACTTTACTTTCTTTCAAAACTGTAAACTCTAGTGCCAGTACCAAAGAAAGAGAATTCAGAAAAAAAAAAAAAGTGTCAGCAACAGCACAAATTAGGGAATAGCTCAGTTCTTCACATAGATGGAAATCTACTGAGCTCACTTGTATAATTTATGCAAAAGAGTCATTGCAAGCTTAGGCCTGTAATATTTTGCATTAGTGTAAGTGGATTTGAAGATTGTGGGAAAATGTCACAAAAAGCCTTTTTTTTTTTGATACAGTTTTGCTTCCTATATGTTGGACAGCTGGAGAGTGGTTGATATCTGTTGTGGATGAGAGGTAGAGCCTGAGTGTTCCAGTCACAGCATGAGGCCTGCTAAAGTCTGGAGTTTTCTTTGCAGAGCAGGCAGCTGGGTGCTTAGCAGCTGGCAGGCAAAAAGGAAAGAGATCAGGGTTTCTTCATGGAGGGCTGATTTGAACGGAAGCTGTAAGTGAAGGTGGATGGCAGGAAGAACACAAAAGCTACACTTTTTGTCCCTTCACCATTCACTGAACATCCTTTTATCCACAGTGTTTGGAACATGCAGGACTGTCTGATAGCAGCTGCCAGCCAGGAGCAGCCATGGAAGAGATTTGATACAGTCCTAACCCGTGCTGCTGTCTTTAAAGGCAGAAGCGTGTATCATGGCCATTCTGTTGATCTTGTTGGTCCTGCATCCCTGTTGGGGTCAGGTGTGGTAGTGTGTTATGCTAGAGTCTGATGGGATTAAAAATAACCCATTGCAACCTATTCAGGAGATCTTGTGTGCTGCAAGATCTGATTTATGTGAAATGAGAGATGATAGCAAGGTCAGTTATATATACCCAACCCCCAGGCTCAGATGGATGAAATACAAAGTGGACTAATCTGGTGAGCATGGAAAGGTCTCCTGGTGGACTGAGGTCAGGTGGTATGAAACAGGAACTCCAGCATAGTCTCTTACATCATCTTTGGCTGACATACGCTATCAGGCATCTATGATTTTCCTCTGAAAACCTTCCGTGTTAAATACTCAGGATTAAACCTACGAGACATTACTTATTTCTCTCAAGTTCTTCACCATCTGCAGTTGCACTGACCTGACCTGTTGATACTGTGTAGGTGTGTGTGCATACACGTGCACATTGTGCGGGCTTGTTTAGTTTTTTTCATTCCTTTTTCCTTCTTTTTCAGTTTCTTTTTTTGTTTTTTTGTTTGTTTGGTTTTTTTTAACTTACTTTACTTTTTTTTTCAGTATGAACAAATGTATTAATTATGGTAACAGCACAGCCATTTCCTAGGTGCGGGAGAGGAAATCCCAGGTGAAAAGAAATGGCCTTTGTGAGTGTGTCCTGAGTTCTGGTTGAAATCTGGAAGATCCACTGTGTGACTATTTTGTCAGGATACCTGCAGATATTTTTTCTGTATTTAAAAACACAAGACAATTTCAAAAAAAAGCAAGCTACCACTGGTGTGGTTAGTTTATTTAATTTCTAGCACTTTCTGAGGGGCTATTATGTGCAACTGAAGCAGAAGGAGAATCCACCTTTTGACACATGTTATGTAGACTCCTTTTTTTTTTTCTTTGGACTATGTGGTCCTTTCAGTTCCTTCTAAGAGAAATTTTTTGGGCTCAGAGAATTCAGAATTTTGTTAGTAAAACATTTTCTAACATTCTCTACTAATGAAAAGATTTCCCATCTCTCTTGTTTGTTATTTTTTTTTTTTTTATTTAGGAACTGAGCAAATCTGCTCTTTTGTATGGGTGTAGGTGTTATTAATTACTTCATAATATGATACTAACTGGCCAGTACAGTGTGTGGTAAATGTCTTGATAACAGGACATCTCACAACTGTGTGCTCTTAATAAGCCTCTTGCTGGGAAGTTGGAAGAGACCACTGTGGTTTCTTGATCACAAGGCTCTGGTTTGTAGGTAATTGATGTGAAAATTAGCAAAGTTCTGAGGTACTTTACTTATTGCTTATATAGTGGAAATGTTCATTAATTCATTAAAGGCTGTTTGCAATTTAGATGCCATCAAATTTGTGATTTCTTGAGATTTAAAATCAGTTATGCTTTGCTAGAAGATCCTTTCCAGCTGCAATTAATATTCAAATGTTATGATATTTGCAGCAATATTTTTTCAACTGCATTTGACATGTATTTATACATGATAAAAATTGTCAGATACTTTTTGATTTTGAAGTTATTTCAAAGGTTTTTATCTACCACTACCACAGTGGTTATAGAATTAGAGAAATTGTGGCATTTTAGTTCTGTTTTCACAGCATTTCCTGGTTGTCCATGCAGCAGAGATAGTTTTGCTGCCTAGACCATCCTCTTAATTTGTTTCTACCTGGTAAACTGTATTAGAAAACCTAGAAAGAGAAGTACATTTTTGGGTGTTGTGTTTCTGTAAGCAATGGTTGCAATCACTACTGGTGTGTGGGTAGGGTCATTTCTAAGTTTCTTGGTTTTCAGATAACCTGGAGCTCTATGAATGCTGCAGAAAGAAAAACAGGTTCTTTAAAACTAATTATTAAGGTGTCACTCTCAGGTAAACATTTGATCACTCAGCTGCTGTTGTTGAATGGTACTGAAGATATCTTTTTTTTTGTGGTGTCTTTGGTAGAGATACGGCTTCTACAACTGTCTTCCAGTCCCATGTGTATTTTTTGTTGTTCTGGATCTCAGTCTGATAATGCCATTTTGCCTTATCTGGCCGATTTTATTTGACAAATTGTTTTATGTGTGCCGGTGTGGTGCTTGATCTGACTTTCAGGTTTTTTTATCCTGCTGGCATTCTGTGCTCATTTGTCATATGTATTCACAGGTTATATATGCCAGCTATTGAATGAAGCGGCAAATTCTTCTCATATAATGATTTATTGAACATACAGCAAACATATGTGTGGGCTAGCTAGCTATTTGTTTAGATATGCAGAAATTTTGTCTGACCTGAGACATAACTCTTAACATTTTCCTTTGTGTACAAGGCACTGTTGGTTTTACTCTTACTGGTGCTTCTTATGTGAGCTAACAACACTTTAGAAGTCATTGCTGTGATGTAGAATTGCAACCTGAAGAGATGCACGGCCCATTTCTTGCTTGCTTGGGAAAGACATGATGTGTTCACAGGCAGCTACTCAGGTGACTATGAATGGACTGGGATTGGTTTGTCTTCATTTCAGCTGCATTCTGGTGGTAGAGTTTTATCTTAGAGGTGAGCAAGTAAAGGAAAATCCAGATTGGAGTCATGCAGTTATAAATTCTACGGAGGGAAAAAGGCAAGCTGAAGGATTGACAGGTTTATTTCTTTAAATTTACAGAAAAGATTTGTAGTATTAGTGAATCAATAAAATAAGCATTAGTTCTTAGGCAGTCACTGTGCAAAGTAGTCTAAAACCATGAGCAAAGGCATAATCCAGTGGGTGTTGACATCTTTTTCCATTATCAGCCAGACTTCACAGATAGACACAGACTATCAGAAAGAGACTATTACAGTGATTTTTGAAAAACCCTTAAACATTCTCCGTGTTTACCATTCAGAGCATTTATGGGCTCTTTAGCCTGTGTTGTTTATTTTGGCTTGAGAATCAGATGTTATGCATGAGGTATGGTGGCAAACTCTTCGTATTTTCTCTGTTAGTTTTAATTCTTATCTGTGATCATGGGCTACATGAAGAAGGTAGGGTTTTTTTTTTCTTTTTTTTTTTTTTTCCTGAGCGTTTTGACAATAATTGGACTTTACTGTTCTGATGTTCTTAGGGTTTTCTGTACTGAATTGAAAAAAATACATTATTTCAGTTTTAAGTTAAAATAACCAATAGTTTGAAAAGAAGGCAGGAATCAGAGATGTACATAACTTATTTACTGACTTGACTTCTGCATGAACTTGTGTGAAATAGGTTTAAAATACAAAGCTGATTAAAAATATAAAGCAGAAAGACACCACTTAAGAAAAATAAATGTAACCACTGAAATGTTGTTGAATTCAGTGTGTTGAGCAGTTCTGTCAGGGTACTCTCTGTGCCTGACTTGGCCTGTCTTTGTACATGTTGAATACTATTCTAGTGAGAGAGATCACCAATATGGCTGTTGGATATAGGTATTCCTAATTTGCTTTTGTCATGGAATAACAGAATGGCCAGGGTTGGAAGGGACCTCAAAGATCATGAATCTCCAACCCCACTGCCACATGCAGGGCCACCAACCTCCACGTTTAATGCTAAACCAGGCTGCCCAGGGCCCCATCCAACCTGGCCTTGAACACATCCAAGGATGGGGCATCCACAACCTCTCTGGACAGCCTGTTCCAGTACCTCACCACTCTCAACTTAAAACCATTTCCCCTCGTCTTACACATATCAACCTTTTCAAAGAGTTGATTCCCCTCCTCTTTGTAGGCTCCCTTTAGGTATTGAAAGGCTGCAATGAGGTCACCCTGCAGCCTTCTTTTCTCCAGGCTGAACAAGCCCAGCTCCCTCAGCCTGTCCTCATAGGGTAGATGCTCCAGTCCCCTGATCATCTTCGTGACTCTCCTCTGGACCCTCTCCAACAGCTCCCTGTCTTTTTTGTACTGGTGGCTCCACACTTGGACGCAGTATTCCAGAAGGGGCCTCACAATTTGAT